TGTTCCCACTGACCTGAGCGTCTCACATGAAGAAGACACCTGGAGACCTGGACCCACTGACCTGAGAGCCTCACATGAAGAAGACACCTGGAGACGTGGACCCACTGACCCTCACTGCTCATAAACAGCTGAAACCTGAGAATATTCAAAGAAATATCAGAGTGGCGTCTGAAGTTGACCTGTTCTTATGGACAGAAGGACATTTTGTGGTGAAAGCTCTGAGCCCAGAGTGGAGGAGACATTTTGGACACCCCGTCTGTCCATCATGAACCCTGAAAAACTCGGAACAGGTTTTATCAAACAACTGAGAATCAAAATAAACAATCCATCAACTCAAAAGATTTTTGATGTTGTGAAAACATTTATCGTTATTCTGATGCGGCCCGCGGGCCTTTGTGTAGCTACTGTAAGCTTTTAGCTATCGTTTTACTGAACTTAGCATTTAGCTGCAGTGTTGCTAATTTTAGCTCTTAGCTATGGTTTAGCTATTTTGAGCTTTTAGTCTACATCAGCATTGCAGGTTGATGCTCCCACCACCCTGCCAGCCATTTCAATCTTCTCAGGTCTTTGACTCCTCCGTCCATCCCGCTTGTCTTTGTCTCGTCCATGTGGACAGCTGCAGGAGTTTGGACCTTCTTTCTTGGACGTCTCAGTCCACAATGGAGTAAAAATGGCTTCATTGGTGGACACAAGTGTCCCAGCAGGTTTGAACCTTGGTGGTTCCTGAACATCACAACCAATGTGAGGGGGACAGATGGGTGCAATGACACTGCAGTAAATCATGATCAGAACAGGAAGTTACCGTTAGCTCCACCTGCCAGCTGTTCAAGGGACTGTATGTATAATTCTGACCCAACTCCAGCTGACTGAAGGTGTTTGTTGTAGCCTCGGCTGCGATTGATGAAGCCTTCTGATCTCAGCTGCAGAGGCTGATCCTGACAGACGGTGACAGTGTTGGATAATTACAGAACCTCCTGGGCCCGGAGCTGGTTCTGTTCTTGCAGTAAGTGTGAACACGTTTGTCAGGTCGACTTCTGGTCAGCTCCAAGTGAAACCTGCAGCTGTGGGTCCAGGCGCTCCTTATCTGAGGCTGCTCAGACTGCGGTTCTGCTCCATAGTCTGAGGTACCAACAGAACCACGGGCCGAGCCTTTCCTGGGTCTGCAGTTTGGAACAGAGCAGCTTGACAGACGAGGTAGTGTCAGAAACAGGAAGTCAGTTTGTCCAACTTCCTCTAGCCTCACCTGCATCTCAGAGAAACCGCCTGTTTCTACGTTCTGCACGCTTTATGACTTCAATAAAGAGAAAAGTAGAGCGTTTGTTGAAGGAACTGCCCTGCAGAACGTTTGTTGAAGGAACCCGCCCCGAAGAACGTTTGTTGAAGGAACTGCCCTGCAGAACGTTTGTTGAAGGAACCCGCCCCGAAGAACGTTTGTTGAAGGAACTGCCCTGCAGAACATTTGTTGAAGGAACCAACTCTGCAGAACATTTGTTGAAGGAACCAACTCTGCAGAACATTTGTTGAAGGAACCAACTCTGCAGAACGTTTCACACGACTCTCAGCTACTACCAGCACTGATTCGTTCAAACTGGAGATTCTCACCTGAGCGATTCCACAAAGCTGCCTGACGGGTGAAACAGACAGAACCAGAGAACATGTAGATTTGATCAAAGAACACCCCCACCTGATTTCAATCAGAACCAACAGGTCCCAGCAGAACCCAAACCGAGTGTCTTCATTGTTGAACGACTCCAATCTACGAGGAACTCAAATAAAAGCAGAGAAATGTCTTCATGAACCTCGTCCTTCCAGCACGACATGTTTGAGACGAGCTGTCCTCTGGTTCTGATGGTTCTGGTGGTTCTGCAGAGTGTTCAGGAAACCACTGGAAGCCCAAAGTGTTTCTGCTCAGAAACTCTGAGATTAATGAACTCATCGATGACTTTATTCAGACCGAGCTGAAGGGGTGACAGAGACGCGGTGGCACAGTGTTTATATCTATTACCACTCAGCAAGAAGGTTACAGGTTCGCCCTCCGGTCCTTCTGGGGGGAGTTTACATGTTCTCCCCATGCAGGTACTCTGGCTATCTCCAAAAGATGCAACTTGTCCAGTTGTCATTTGTCTCTGTGTGTCCCTATGGTGGACAGGGTGTCCCTGTCTCTCGTACGGTGAGACAGACACTTGTCTGCCGGTGTTCTTCTTCAACTGGACAGGTTGTCCCTGTCTCTCAGGGACTGTCTGTGGCCATGAGAGGGTGAACACCTCACCTTGTTGTCCGCTCTACGAGCGCCCTCTACTGACCAGCTGTTGAAAACACACTTCTTTACTTTCAGACTTTAATAATAAATGGATGAATGAATAAATATGTAAATTATTTTAATTGTAATGATTTTTTTCAAACTCTCCGTTAAGATGATGTTCTGTTCTAATTATTAAAATAATAATAATAACAGATGTTGTTTTAGAAAACATTTTAATAAAAATAGTTTGGTGTATTTCACTTTAAAAACAGAGAAAAGACTCGTTTCTTTCTTGTAAAACATCCTAAAAATATTTGTGCTAATTTAAAAATGATTAAATAAACTGAAGCAACGAAACGACAATAATTTATGAATCAGAAAACAGAAACTCACATTTACTTCATGCATCACAAGGAATGTAGAAAAACGATAAAATAATACAAATTTTCTTTTTACAACCACACTGCAACACAGAGGACATGTGGGGAGTGTGCACGTGGGGAGTGTGCACGTGGGGAGTGGTTTACAGGTCCTGAAGCCTCTTTCCTCTGAGTCGGGGTAAAAAGCTCATGCTGAGGCTCTCGGCCCCCTCGTGGGGCTCCACGGGCTGCTGGGACAGGTTGTTGGTCTGGGGGAGGTGGTCCAGGCTCAGGTCCTGGTGGGGGCACACGGAGTACTGACGGAGCAGAGTCACCAAGATGGACTTCATCATCACCATAGCGATGTGTTTGCCAACGCAGGCCCGGGGCCCCGAACCAAACGGCTGGAAGTAACGGCGAGGGGCCTGGGGACAGAAAATAAGAGAGACCTCAGAGTCCAGCTGCTGGTTCTGGACTGTCGGGTTCATCAGGGCTCACTGACACCAGTGACGTAAACAGATCCAACAGAACCACTGAGGCCGGCTCAGCTCACAGAACCTGATGGAAGGAATGAATGGCTGGGGGACACGGGGACTTTAGTCCTCATGATCTTTAGCTGTGAGACGTCATCAAGAAAAACCCGAAAAACAGAGACAGGCCCAGAATAACAATTCAGAGGCAGTTCGGCTACTTTTGACCTTTTAGCTAGGCTTTTGCTACTTTTTAGGTTTTAGGTCTAACTTTTAAAAGGTTTTAGGCTTAACTTTTTATATTTTAGCTAGGCTTTTGCTACTTTTAACTTCTAGCTAATTGTTTGCTTGTTTAATCTTTTAGCTAGGCTTTTGCTGCTTGTAACATCTAACTAATGTTCTGCTATATTTTATTTTACCTAGTCTTTAGCTACTATTTAGATTTTAGTTAGGATGTTTCTATTTTTAGCTTCCAGCTAATGTTATGCTATATTTTATTTTAGCAAGTCTTTAGCTATTTTTTTATATTTTAGTAAGGCTTTTGCTATTTTTAGCTTCTAGCTAATGTTCTGCTATTTTTATATTAGTTAGCTTTTAATTACGTTTTAGATTTTAACAAGGCTTTTGCTACTTTTAGCTTCGAGTTAATGTTCTGCTATATTTCATTTTAGGTAGCCTTTAGCTACTTTTTATCTTTTAGCTAGGCTTTTGCTGCATCATGTTTTAGTTCATATGTAGCTTCATTTAGCTTCAGCTCCTCAGTTTCAGCTTCTTCAGCAGTTTTTTTAAGGAAGTGTAATTTCTGTAGTTTGTGTTTGAAATCTTCTGCCATGTAGAAAAAAAGCCTAAAAGCATCATGCAGCTCTTTGTTTCGTTTATCATCACGACAAGCGTTTAAATTTAAAACGAGAGTAAAAACAGTTTCTGATCTCATCCTGTCCATTTATCATGGATGTTTGTTTGTTTGTTGTTTTCTCAGATGTTTGTCAGCATGTTGATAAACTCAGCTTCCATTATTTCAGTGTCAGAATAAAAAAAAATATATATTTTAAGTTAATGATCCATTTTGTTGTTTGTTTCCTGACAGACTAAAAACTGTAAAAAATGATTTTACAGTTTTTTTTCTTTTTTAAAGATTTGAACGCATCAAAATATGACATGAGATTATGGAAAGATTCTCTAACAGAAACCAGAACGTTTCAGACTTTATTTAGAAGGATAAAGAAACTCATCTCATTTTAATGTTTATTTATTTGTATTTATTTTTTTGTGTTGGCTGCAACAAAACAAATAAACAAAAATAAGTTTGCATCTTTTTTATGCTATTTTTGACAAATATTGGAAAATCATACAATAAGTATCTGCATGAGCTGAAAGGAGGAGAATTAAACTTTCTTGTTTAAATCCTCATCATGTTTTTCTTCTTTTGTCTTCGTACAGCAAACAAACAAATTAACAAACTAATAAAAAAAAAAATCCTAATTCATCTTACGAGATCAGTTTAAAAATGAGCAGGTTTGAGATCTTTGAGTCAAGTAGTTGTATTTTATTTTGTGTACAAACTTTTATTTTTAGAAGAAAAGAAAAATTATTTTATTACAAAAATAATGATGTCATCTTTTATCTTCAAGCTTCTGAAAACCCCAAAAACGTGGCGTAGACTTTAAAAACAGAAATAAGTCGAGCTCCTCCCGTTTACTCACGTTTCTCTGGAAGTTCTCCAGACTGAACTCGTCTGCTCGGTGGAAGAACTCGGTCCGGTGCATCCGGCCCGTGTTCAGGATGATGTTGGTGCCCTTTGGTACCCTGTATCCGTCTATGATGTCATCAGAAAGGGCCCGGCGCATGGTGAAGTCCACCACCGGGTGGAAGCGCAGGCATTCGTTGATGAAACTCTCCAGAACCTGCAGCTTCAGGAGATCTTCGTTCTGCAGCTGTCGGTCTCCTGGAACCGAAGGAAAGTCCGTTTCTAACAGAACCGTTCTCTGATGGATTCATTCTTAGAGCCAACACCATTCAAGATGGCCGCCACAGCCAAGTTACGCTCAAGTTAGCCTCTTATTGTCAGTTTGATGAAGGGCTATTCCAACTGTTTTGCATGTCTTTAGCTCAACATGCAGATGGTTCAGACCCAGACTGAACCGATCCTAACAGAACCTCCAGAACACAGTTTGTTCTAACATCTGGCCCACCTCTGGAGTTTTAAGAAATTGTCCCTTTAATAAGCACTAAAGCCAAACTGTGTTTGGACTTTCTGTTTTTACTAAACGATCAGTTCAGTCCTGGTTTGAAGCGTCTGTGTTGAAGTTTATAAATTTACCTCATCAAAGATGGTGCACTCACAAAAAATGGTCAGAATGTCACTTTATGAAACAGCCGAATCAGCAGCGCTGTCAGTTTTCCTCATACGGAGCTAAAATTGATGAATAAATGAGTCGAACACAACAAAATCTGACAAAACATCAGAATTTGACCAAAACGTCTCAAGTTCCTCCTTTTTCATCATCGGATGATATTAGTTTAAACTCGGACGTTTTATTTTGATTATTTTTACTGAACAAGACGAATCCCGCTGAGATCACAGAACTCTCTTCAAGCTCCTCCTGAACCTGAAGGCAGGTTCTGAGCTGTGAGAGGAGACCCACGCAACTCCACACACAAAAAAGACCAGTCCAACCAGGGATTGAACCCAGGACCTTCTTGCTGTGAGGCAACAGTGCTAACCACTGATCCACTGTGCTACATGAAAGGCAGTGGGTGATATGCAAGTTGCACATTTGTTTAAATGAAAATTAAAGTGTTGCAGGTGTTCTGCTCCACACATGCACCCAGACCATGATCCTTCCACCACCATACTACACCACATACAGCCAGAACCAGAACCGGCTGCTGGACGGAGCCTCTCACCTACAACCGAGTCGATCTCCTGCAGCAGCTGCAGCTCCACGTCGGGGTTCTGTTTGAGGAGCAGCAGCATGAAGAAGAGGCTGATGGAGAGCGTGTCCGGTGCCGCAATCACCATCTCCAGCACGCACTGCCTCACGTTGTCAGCAGACAGCTCGCCGTGGTTCTGGAAACACACAAACGGATCTGTGGGTCGTTGTTCAGCGGGTGGTGAGGGAGGCCCGGGACGAAAAACAGCAGAACATCAGAGACGTGCAGAGAAACTCAAACTGTTGCTCACAGATTCATAGAAAAAAGAGCTGGTTTATGTGTCAAACAGAACTCTGGAAAATCCTCTTATATTATCATCATCATTATTATTATAATTATTATCATCATAATTATTATTATAATTATTATCATCATAATAATTATTATATCATCATCATCATTATTATAATTATAATTATTATCATCATAATAATTATTATATTATCATCATTGTCATTATTATCATCATCATAATAATTATTAACATTATTATCATCATTATTGTTATTATCATAATAATTATTATCATAATAATCATTAATATTATCACTATTATCATCATAATCATAATCATCACTTTCATAATTATTATTATCATCATATATTATTATTATTATTTTCATCTTTGTCATTATCATAATCATCATTATTACCATTATTATTATCATCATTGTTATTATCATCATTATTATTAACAATATTATCATCATTATTGTTATCAACATCATTATTATCATTATTATGATAATAATCATCATCATCATTATTATTATTACTATTGTCATTATTATCATCATAATAATTATTATAATTATCACTATTATTATCATCATAATTATCTTAATAATCATTATCATATTATCATCATATATTGTTTTAATTATTATCATTATCATTATTATAATTATTATTATTCCATCATTGTCATTATTATCATCATTTTTGTTATTTTCATCATTATTATTATAATGATTATCATAATCACTATAATAATCATCATTATTATTATCATCACCATTGTTGTTTTTCTTGTGGTTTATTCTTAATTTTGTGTTTGCTGATGTGGATCAATACTGGTCCAGACTCCATCTGGAAGTTCTGCAGCACCTGCTGCACCTGTACTTCTCATGGCCAAATGTAATTGTTTAAAAATGGCTCCGTATTTATAAACTTCTTACTTGTGCAAAAATGAGATTTGCTGCAAAGTTGATGTTGTCCAGTTTGTCTGCCTGCTCCATGTGTCTCCTCTTCTGCTCCACCAGACCCTCGATGGCGTCTTGGAGCTCCTGGCTGGAAGAACACAGAAAATACGACTTGAGTTTGAATCAAATGAAGCCCAGGCGGGATCAGGATGTAGCTCAGCGTGAAGACAAACAAAAGATCCTCACGCTGCGGCTTGGTGCTTCTGCTGAATCCAGCCGAACCTGAAGTAGATGTCAGGTTTGATCAGCACGCTCTGCCACGTGTCAAAGTACTTCTGGATCTTCAGCAGCAGCTCCTTCTCTGCACTCAGAGCACAACCAACAGAAGCTTTAAGGCTTTCGACATTAAACAGCTCTGTGGGTTTTTTATGCTTCGTGTTCCTAAAAGCTGCAGGAGACGTCGCTTAATTCACCGTTGAGGGGCACGTCCAGGAAGAGCCTGTTGGAGATGTCCACCACGGTGCAGCGCAGCAAACTGAGGACATCCACGTGAGACAAACTGTCCAGCTCATCCAGGTGGAACTGCGTGGACGAGACACAAACCTCCACGGTCTGCTGCAGGTTTGGACCCGTCAGCGCTGAAACAGAACACGTTTGATCATTTCTGCACACGCAAGCGTTCACCAGCAGCAGCAGAAGCTGGTTGAGATCTACCTTTGGCAAAATATGTGCGGATCTTCCTCCACAGAGTCACGTTGTTGTTGAATATGATGCCCCTCTCGTTCATGCCCAGGCAGCTGAGTCCCTGCTTGCTCCCAAAACGGGACGTATACTTTCCATTCCTGAGGACGTGATGAACGGCCGAGGCCCTGATGGAAAAATAAATAAATGTTACTCCTTCATTCTGCAGAGGAGCAGCAGCTTTAACAGACAACCAACCTGCTGAGGATCAGGGTCTCCTCTCCATCGATCCACACTCTCACGATGTCTCCATACTTCTTGTTGTAGTAGTTACTGGCTGTTCCGATCCCGGTCCAGATGAACCTCAGATAGGACAGCAGTGGGCCCAGACCCAGGCAGAAGGAAGGTCCTGGTGCAGTGAAAACACGTCAGCTCATTTTAAAACCCAGATTCAAAGCTGAAGTTAGGAAACCTGAACCTACCTGGGATCGTTTTCTTGTCTGTGTGACTCCAGGCAACCAGCAGCAGACAAACAAGCAACAAGAGGGTCCTGGTTGCCATGGCAATCCCAGATGACTGGCTTTCCGTGGTATTTGAGGACACGGAGACCAGGTCTGACACAGCACCACCAAAACCCACAGGTATCATCGCCCGATCGCAGGAGATCAGATCCATGAGAAGGGAAAGAACGGCGCTCCGGAGTCGTGACGAGTGCAAATGATCCGTGCCGTCTGACTGTGGTCTTTATAGACGCTCCGAGCTGGTTCTGAGCCAGGTCAGGGTAAAACAAACGCCACAACATCGCAGGGAAATTGTAAACAATACACACGAGGCCTTGACAAGCTGGGTTCGTGCCTGTGGCCTTGAGAGTACAGGACTTTGTTGAGCGGCTGCACGTTTGCGTGCGCTCGTGTTTGACATTCTGCTGATGAGAAGCGTTGCCCGTTTGTGAGAACATCAAAGAATCTGACAGGAAGTCCAACGTCTAGCAGCTGCTTGGTGAGCAGATGGACCCTCAGAGTTATTTTCGCCATTAGAGGAACCTTATCGGTCCGGTCAAGTTCATCACAGCTTTGAAGACAACATTCATGCAACGCCTTCTTTCATCTTCTCACCATAAAAGCAAGAAATGACCGGGGAGTGCATGGGAAATGTAATTTCTGCTTTCTAGGGTTCAGAAACTTGCAGAATCATCTGTCGCCAGACGTTTTTGCGCACATCTTTAGGTTTTCTGCACAAGTTCACGTCTAACTTTCACAAAGAGTGACTTTGTACTTTTATCGCTTGATACTGAGAGCAGAACATTAGTTTTTATTATCAGTGTTGTGTCTTCCAGCTCGTGCCATCAGTCACTGTTTAAAACTGAAGGTGTGTTTTTAAACTGCAAACGAAGCTCTGCTATCAGAATAAACTTCAAACTTTAACGTTAAACACTGATTTATATTGGTCCCTCTACAAATGAGCTTCTAACACAAAAGAGTAAAACTAATAAAAACAGTCATGCCTAAATCTTTGTGAGTCTTTGTTAATTTGCACTGTTACAGTTTGCACGTTTATTTATACACCAACCTGCTTGGATTCAGAATCATCGTTATTTTTTCTGACCAACTGTGAGCGTCCAGGATTTTTACAAGTACTTTTATTTAAACGTGCAAACATTGTCACGTTCAGCCGGTCCTGATGAACATCTGCTCATGTCCAACCACTTTGTTTTTTTAAGGGTTGATTATTCCACAAACTTTTACAAGAAATCTAGATGCAAATGTGCCAAAACGGGGCCCAAACCATGACACTGCCACCACCATGCCCCCAGTTAGAACAAGATTAACATTCTGTTTTTTTCACATTTTTGACTAGAATTGGTTGATTGGGGTGGCACGGTGGCTCAGTTGGTAGAGCTGTTACCTCACAGCGAGAAGGTTGCCGGATCAAATCCAGGCCTGGAGCCATTCTGGATGGAGTTTGCATGTTCTCTCCATGCATGTGTGGGTTTTCTCCAGGTACTCCAGTTTTCTCTCACAGAACAAAAACATGCATGTTAGACTGATTGGTAACTCTAAATTGTCAGGTGTGAGTGAGAGAGTGAATGGTTGTTTGTCTCTGTGTCTCTGTGGTGGACTGGAGACCTGTCCAGGTGTCCCTGTGATGGACTGGAGACCTGTCCATGTGTCTGTGATGGACTGGAGACCTGTCCAGGTGTCCTTATGATGTATTGGAGACCTGTCCGTGTGTCTGTAATGGACTGGAGACCTGTCCAGGTGTCCCAGTGATGGACTAGAGACCTGTCCAGGTGTCTCTATGATGGACTGGAGACATGTCCACGTGTCCCTGTGATAGACTGGAGACCAGTCCATGTG